AGCAGAAAGTAGCTAAAAGAAGCAAAAAGTGGCTAAAAGCAGCAGAAAGTAGCTAAAAGAAGCAAAAAGTGGCTAAAGGCAGCACAAAGTAGCTAAAAGTGGCTAAAAGCAGCAGAAAGAAGCTAAAAGTGGCTAAAAGCAGCAGAAAGTAGCTAAAAGTGGCTAAAAACAGCAGAAAGAAGCTAAAAGTGGCTAAAAGCAGCAGAAAGTAGCTAAAAGTGGCTAAAAACAGCAGAAAGAAGCTAAAAGTTGCTAAAAGCAGCAGAAAGTAGCTAAAAGTAGTTAAAGGCAGCGGAAAGTAGCTAAAAGTGGTTAAAAGCAGCAGAAAGTAACTAAGATGCAAAAAGTAGCTAAAGCAGCTAAAAGAAGCAAAAAGTGGCTAAAAGCAGCAGAAAACAGCTAATAGAAGTAAAAATGGCAAAAAGTAGCTAAAAAAGCAAAGAGTGGTGGCTAAACGCAGCTGAAGGCTACCTAAAAACAGCAAAAATTAGCTAAAGGCAGCAGAAAGTAGCTAAAAGCAGCTGAACGCAGGCTAAAAGCACCTAAATGATAGCTGAAACACGAAAATAACAAAAGGCTACCCAAAAACTAAAGTATAAAACTTTAGCTAAAAGAAACACAAAGTGGCTAAAAGGAGCAGAAAGTAGCTAAAATAAGCAAAAAGTAGCTAGAAACAGCAGAAAATAGCTAGAAGAATCAATAAGTAGTTAATAGCAGCAAAAAGTGGCTGAAGGCTAGCTAAAAGCAGCTAAATGTTACAAGAGACATAAAACTAATACTCAAAATCTAAAGTAACAAAAATGTAGCTAAAAGCCGAAAGCAGTGAAACACTAGCTAAAGAGAAATAGGAGCCGAACCTTTGAGCGGAGGTAGGCGGAGCCTCGCTCACAGCGGATCCCTCCGGTGCAGTACATCAGGACCTTCTTGTCTCGGAACAGCTCCAGGTTCTGGTCCACATAGTCCGGGAAGTAGCTGAACTTCCGTATGTTTGGAGCCAGACACTGAGAGAACTGCCCCTGAGGAGAAAATCAAACTTACGATTTTTAAAAACGGTTAAAGAAACGTGACGTCACGTCTGTTTACTTTCTGTTTACGTCAGTTTTTATCTTCAGCTCTTTAAAACGATAAAAACTCACTATTTTGCTCTCGTAGAAGTTGCGACAGTCCAGAAGGACGGTGTCGTTTCTCAAATGCTTTTGGGCCAAAAGAGCCTCCACCTCTTTATGAAACTCCTCGGGTTCCAGATGAACTCCTGAGACRCCAAACAGAGAAGAAACCGGGTCAGGAAGAACTGGACCGGTCCTAAAGACCCGCTGACACCCAGAACTGATCGATGATTATTTAAAAGAAAACTGTAGGTGGGATTAAGATTACTGATATAATCTGAAAATAATCTGAGTATAATCTGAGAATAATCTGACTATAATCTGAGCATAATATGAGTATAATCTTAATATAATCTGAGAGTAATCTGAATATAATCTGGGAATAATCAGAGAATAATCTGAATAAATTCTGAGTATAACCTGAGCATAATCTGACTATAATCTGAGTATAATCTGAGCATAATATGAGTATAATCCGAATATAATCTAAGAGTAATCTGAATATAATCTGGGAATAATCAGAGAATAATCTGAATATATTCTGTGTATAACCTGAGCATAATCTGAGAATAATCTGACTATAATCTGAATATAATATGAGAGTAATCTGAATATAATCTGAGAGTAATCTGAATATAATCTGGGAATAATCAGAGAATAATCCGAATATAATCTGAGAGTAATCTGAATATAATCTGAGAATAATCTGAGAAGTATTTCTGGTATCAGACCTGCCAGCTGGTAGGAGACCACATCGGGGTCGACCCCCATGGGAACGATCTCCTTGAAGACGCCGACCTTCAGGTCTCTGAAACACTCGGCGCCRCCGCGGCTGGTCTGAACCCAAACCACCACAGAAGAAGAGAACATTTCTGAATTCAATCATTTCAAGATGTATTTAAAAAAAAATTCAAACAAACTTTAGAGAAGCTTCTGCTGAAAGGACAAACAGGATTTCTTTTTTTATTCTGACCTTAAAATCCTCTTTTTCCATCTTGAAGAGCGGATGTGAAATCATGGCCTGGATGTAAAACTCTGTGGCCGCTTCGGTGCCGCCGACCGTCCCGTTGATGCCTTCGGCTGCTACCCGCACCTGAAGATCAGAACAACTCACTGGAGAATTCACATTTCCTGTAAAMGCAGTGAGTCTGTTTAAAAATCACAAAATGTGTCAAAAAAGCTGAAGGAAAATATCAGCTAAAAAAGGCAGAAAAACGTTTCAAGTACAGGAAGCTTTGTGACCTTTAAATTGACAYGTTTAGCTGTGTGATTGAACATGTTTACATTAAAGTTATTAATACAGAACTGTTTTAGAAAAGGGTTGACCTTTGACCCTAACATCACCAAGTATCATTGACCCACAGTCTAGCTGTGAAGTTTGACGTTCCTGTGTTACACGGCTGCAGAGTTAGAGCTCCACCAACTCATGGACRGCTTCTTTTAGCTTTGTTAGCCACCGCCACATGCTAATTAGCTTTCAGCTTATGGTCCAGATTGTGCTCGGCTACTATCCCACCAAAATTAAGCTACATAGATAAAAGACAAAAGAAGTTAATTCACCATAAAACAGATGAAATGAGTGAAAAACTAAATAAAACATGCTAAGCAAGGCTAAAAAAGGCTAAAATTAGCAACAAAAATAAGCTAAAAGTAGCAGAAACAAGTTGAATTTAGCACACAGTGAAAGGACTAATAAAACTGCAATTTGTTGTAGAAAATTAAGAAAAGGACAACAAGCAAGTTGCAATTTGTTGTAAAAAAGCTACAACAGCCAAAATTAGCAGAAAAACAGCTAAAATGTAGCTGAAAACCTGAAGTTAGCAAAAAGAAGAAAAAGGTGCATGTTTGCTGATTTAAGCAGAAAGAAGGTTAATAGGCCAACAAAAACGTGAATTTAGCTTGAAAAAAAAACTTTATTTAGCAATAAAAAGCTAAATGGTAGCCAAATGTACAGAAAACAGCTAAAATGAGCATAAATCACTCGGAGAAAAAAGMATTAAAAGCTTAAATCAGCAGACAGAAGCACAAAAAAAGTAGAAATTAGCAAAAGAATATCTGAAAGGAGCAGATAGCAACAATAGCAGAAAAAAGCTAAAAATTAGCAATAGGAAGCTAAAGCTAGCAGAAACAAGCTGAAATTAACACACAAACAATAGGAGGGTAAAATATTTCAAATTAGCAGACAATTAAAAAAAGGTTTGGTGTAAATATCTAAAACAGCCAAAATTTGCAGAAAAACAGCTAAAATGTTGCTGAAAAACCTGAAGTTAGCAAAAAGAAGAAAAAGGTGCATGTTTGCTGATTTAAGCAGAAAGGTTAATAGGCCAACAAAAATGTGAATTTAGCTTGAAAAAAAAACTTTATTTAGCAATAAAAAGCTAAATGGTAGCCAAATGTACAGAAAACAGCTAAAATTAGCATAAATCACTCGAAAAAAGAATTAAAAGCTTAAATTAGCAGACAGAAGCACAAAAAAGTAGAAATTAGCAAAAGAATATCTGAAAGGAGCAGATAGCAACAATAGCAGAAAAAAGCTAAAAATTAGCAATAGGAAGCTAAAGCTAGCAGAAACAAGCTGAAATTAACACACAAACAATAGGAGGGTAAAATATTTCAAATTAGCAGACAATTAAAAAAGGTTTGGTGTAAATATCTAAAACAGCCAAAATTTGCAGAAAAACAGCTAAAATGTAACTAAAAAAAGCTAAAATTAACAAAAAGAAGCAAAATGAGCATGTTTGCTGATTTAAGCAGAAAGAAGCTTAACAGGCCACAAACATGTGGATTTACCTTGAAAAAACTTGATTTAGCAAAAACCAAACAGCTAAAGAGTAGCCGGAAAAAAAATAAAAACAGCTGAAATTGTTAATTTTTCATTTTCTTGATGAAACTTCCTGCTGCAGGTTCTCTCACCTTGCCGGTTAAGTTGAGCTTCTCACACAGAGCTTTYTGCCAGGTGCAGATGGTCCGCGGGTCGTCCACCTGACAGTACCGATAGAAGAGCAGAACCTCTCCAGGACCGCTTCACGRCAGCAGGAGACAGAAACACACAGACGTCAGCTGTTGTTCAGTCGGACTGATTTCCACCGCAGCGGCAGCAGAAATGAAACAGCTGATCTTTGTTTACGTTTGAAGCCGCTCCTCCGGGACGTGGCTAACATCYGGAATCCACTCAGAAACGTCCACAGCTTCGTCCTGCGGCCGCTCGGCGTCTCCCTCCAGCTGCTGTGGCAGATGTTCACACGAGGCCCGTGCGAGCTGCTGCAGCTCAGCGCCGTGAGCCTGGGCCACGTGTTTGTGGACGGCGGCGTGCTCGCCGAAGGTCCGGCCGCAGCAGCTCCAGGACGCGCTTCCTGCTCCACACGTGTCCTTCCTCTTTGATGCAACGAAGGCGGCGAAAGACTGGAGGAGGAAAAACAGAGACGTTTGATGCAACGGGAGTCTCCATTCRGCTGGTCCCTCCTCATCACCACACCTGTTTGAGTTTACCTGTAACTCCTCAGACTGAGGACCTGCTCAACTTTTCTTTCTTCTACCTGGATGATTGAGATGCATGAGGACAATCTGTCCCTCCTCTGGACTGGACATGGTCTAAACCATCTCAGTCTGGTCTCTCTAACTTCATCTCTCAGTCCTTCAACCTGTGCTGCACCTCATCCAACCTCAACATCTTCATCACTGTCACTTCCGGTTTTGTTTCCAGTCTTTTTCTTTAAGGATTTACATTTCTTTATTCAAAATTTAGCTTAACATCTTTACAACTGACTGAAGTAAAGGCATTTTTCTGCAGGATAATGTTTTTTAAAGTGTTTCCAGTCTTTAACAAATGTAACATTTCCAGGGGGCTCTCTATATAAAATTTGCTCAGTTCAGCATTTTCTTACCTTTCTCCTGCAGAAGCTGTAATATCTTCTTTGTGAGGCAGAAAGTTGTTTCTCTTGTTTTAATCCGTTACAGGAGGTCGAGGTTTCAATCTCCCAGTTCATGAACTCCGAGCAGCAAGCTGCTGTTTCAGCCGCTTCCATTTTAGTTTACAATCTATTTTTTTAGCTAATATAAAAGACTAAAATACAATGTATCGATTTACTGTTCTGCTGGTTTGAATTCTYGTAGTTTAAAACCTCGATTTATGTCAAATAAACTCTTAAACGTGCATCTGATTTACGCCTAGCCGAGAGCGAGTCGACGGAAGRAAAAGGACGACGGACTTTCCGCTTTGCTCCGGAAGTGCTTCACTCGAATCAAACACCGCTGTCATTTTTCTGCTGCAGCAGCGGCGGCGGCGTACACGCTGAATAAGCTTGTTTATCAGGATTAGTTTTTTCTCTCGGCATTATTTTTTTTTATAATAAAGTGGTGAAAATGTCCAGGAGGCGACACAGCGATGAGAACGATGGTAAGTCAGCGGATAAACACTCCGTGGGTTTGCTAATGGTCGGCTAATGTTAGCGTGTTTTCACTTCATTCACGCATGCAGGTGGATTGTGCCTTTTTACTAGGCCACTTGGGATTTTTAAGCTTTCCTTTTAAAAAGTAATTTAAAATGACTAATTGGCAGTTAACAACGATGTACTTAATGATGTGAAACAGTGAAGAGTATTTGTTTTTGAGACTGACAGACGCTCTGCTGTTACCGTTAGCTTGGTGGCTAAYCTAAAGGGCGCTGATGGGCAGAGACAAACTTATTAACCTCAAAGTAACACAGTGCTTTAAACAAATAAAATTTGTCTCCTGACTGTGTTAAAAGTCAATATTATTGTTATTTAGGAAGGAATGTGTTTTTATACAAGCTAATTCTGTTTGTAAACCAAAACAATGAACATTGCCTAACGTTGTTGGGCTGCGTCTAATTACAAAAGGATCTCCTACTCAAAAATGTAAAAACACCTGAGTGTGAAATAATAATAATAAAAAAAAACTGTTAACAATTACACTTAGTATTTTTAAAACTTAATTTCTTTGTTTGCAGCAGTTAAACAGAAGCACAAAAAGTATCCAAATCYTGTCACTAAAATACAGAAATTAGTATAAATACAGACAAAATGTTAAAAAATAAAAACAGATCAATAAAACCAAATTAAGCGCAGTGTTATCGAGATGTAAATTAGTCTGTMAAAAGTAAGTTTAAGTGGCTTTTTAGGAGTCGAAACCTTCATACAAACTAATAATACTGTCGTTTTTTCCCAAAGCTGAGTCGCATCAGATTGAAAATAAACACAAGAATAATTATAATCATCTTCAGAGGTTTATAGTAACTACCGTAAGTACATTTACTTTGTTACAGGACTTAAATAGTTTTTTTTTGAGGATTTGTAATTTTACCAACTATTTTTTAAACAGCAACTTTTACTTTGTTACATTTTAAAGCTATAAAAAATGATACTTTTACTGCTTTACTTTAAAATATAACACCTAGTTACTCGTTACAAAATTAAATATGTTTGAACTCATCATGAAATATGTTTATGCACTATAAAAAATGAAATGTTGAATTTATTCAAAGTTTGGCTCCACTGAGCCTAGTTGAGTAAACTGAGCAAATAATATAAATAAATCGCTCAATTTACTCAACCTGGTTTAGTGGAGCYAGTTTGGTTCAGTAAATTCAACAGTTTATTTCTTAGAGAGTGTGTAAAACTAATTTTACTTTCCCAATTTTTGTGAACAGTTTCATGACTTTTACTTGAGTAGTTTTCTCATCAGTCAAATTTATTTTTACCAAAATCACTTTCTGTTCATGTAGTTTTWCTTTTACTTACAAGTACTTTATAGACCTCTGGAATCTTAAAAGAGAAATTATTCAGCTGTTTAAAATTCAAGAGAAACAAACAATTTTTCTATGATTTAAATGATCTTTTTGTGTAACGTTCATATTTTTGAAGAAATGCAGTGTTTGTGTTGGTCTTTATTTTTGTTCTGGTGTTGATCATACGTCTAAACAATCATCAGTAACAGTAAACACAAAAAAACATTTTACTTTTTGCTCTCCGTCTGTTCCGGTGATTCCAAACTTTTCTGTCTCCGACCCACAAAACAATGCAGTGTTTCCACTAGAAAATAAAAAAGTGTCAAGTGGAGGGCAACTCCTCCGAGTACCACTGTGTTAGATTACCTGTTTGAAAATGGTTTGATTCTTGTGAAGGAGGTTGATGATGTTACTCTCTGGCCAATCAATGGGCCTCATGCAAGAACATGTTCGCATTCTTATCCTAAATTTCTCTTACTTTTGTTCGTACAAAGGGTTCGTA